ACAAACAGGCACTTTAAGATAATAAAACACATATGGACTTAGCGAAAACTAAATCACAAATACTGTTGTCCTGTTATTTTTGCTTTGTGCAAATCAACTGGCATTTTTATCTACTGTTGTTAGCTTTAATTTTGTTCTGTTTATCATTAAGTGTCACTGTCAAAGCAGAGATCTTAAAAATTATTCTTTCCATGAATATGTACTTGGGAATACGTACTTGGCACTTTTTCTATGCCATTGGGCTTCAAAGAGCTTTGCCCAGAGATATTTTTAAATATAATAACAGTAGCATTGCAGCAGTAATGTCTTTAATGTAAGAAATACTCTTTACTCTACTTTTTTTGGGAACAATTCCCACGTCAACACTGCCATAGAATTAGGTGAGCAGAACTTGTGATTATGCCCAGTATTTATGCTTCCTGCTCACTTTTAAAAAAGGCAACAAAGTAAACAAATGTTCTAACCTCCCATCTAAAAACATCAAGTAGCTATAGAATCAAATCTTAAAACTGTAAATAAACAGGAAAATCTCTTCCCTGGAAAATTAAGCTAAAGCCATTGTGTTTGAAATCAAATGTAGTCTCAGTAGGACAAAACACTATCAAACTCGCCCTGTGTTGCCAATTTGAGCTTTAAATCAAGCTTGGGCACAGAAGGATGCCGGAGTTGCTTTATCTTGTTCACTCATTTTGGGTTTTGCCAAATAAAAATATAAATATAGATATAAAAATAACTCCGAGAGAAACGTGACATAGGCACTTTAACAGTGCACTTCATCTTTTTAAGAACTCAGTGCTTTAGAAAGGATGAGCATGGGGCAGAACAGCAGAGAACAATTTACTGCCATACTCAAGCCTAAAAAAGGAAAGTCCTCAAAACCATAAGCTTTTATGACAAATTATGAAACTAAATAAAGTAACTTTCACTGAAAAATATCCTGTTCACAACAAATTTGCAGGGACACCAGCTTCTACCCGATGGACTATATTTTCAAGTTCAAAGTGTAAGACTGTGCTTTCCATGCACATTTAAGGTTTCCTAGTGATAGTTCAAAGAGAGACTCCCACCACTTTGTGCCTGATAAATTGCTAGCCTCCTCCTCTTATTGCAGCTTACTACATCGCCTCAAGCTCTTCCCCTCCAGGATATCACACACAGTATTTTATTGGTTTGGAAACCCAACTAGGTGACAAAGGCGTGCGAGTTCTCAAAGATTCACACTACTGTAACATATTGGCTACAGTTCACCCCTTTCCAGAAGCGGAAGAAATGCTGAAATTGATCTGACCAGAAGGATGTCCACACCCTGGATAAGCACTTATGCAGCAGTCTGAGACCTAGAGCCTGCTCCCAACTCTGCCTGTGATCCCAATTTCAGGTCATTTCCCTTCTCTGGACCTTAGTTTTATGTTTATTATTTGGACACGGAGAGCATGGTGGAAGTGAAAGAGGAAGCAGATTTGGAGAAGGCACCACGGAGCCAATCTGTACGTGTCTGGGTTGGATGTGACTGGTGATTACAGCACATTGGAAAACACATTGCTCAGTGAGGATTTGGTTTAGTTTGAAATATTTATAGTCATGTTTTGCTGTTACCGGGCATGCAGTGCACAAAACAGGACTAATATAGCAAATAGTCTCCAATATTACAAGAATAAATATCTGAACAGGAATGAAGTAGGGAACAAGAGAAATTTACTCATTAAAAGAGCAAATGGACAGAATTTCTACAAGATAGTCAGAGTGACTAGTTTCAGTATTTTCAGAGGCTCCTATCACATTGGTCTCTTTTGCACTGATGCCTTTCACTTCTTGTTTCAAGACTTTTACAGAGTAACTCCCTTGGAAGATCTACCTGTGCTTTTTATGCTAGTTGCTTCTCTGCTTGTTTCATTCACTGATGTATCTTGAAAGTGCTATTTCAGTAATTGCAGCCATCGTTAATATTCAGCACACTTAGGGGCTTGTATTGAACAGCTGGACTTTGGATTTTCTTATGTTTAGAGTACCTGTTTTCCTTTTTTTTTTTTTTTTTTTTTTCCCCTCAAAGAGCAGTATTAGGGTTTTCAAAAGATGTGGATTGTTTTTTCCTTTTCTTCTTCATCACTATCATCCTTTCCATCACAGAAAGAACTACTGTCCATGACAGATTTTTGCTTTGTGTTTCCTTATGTACGTAAGATATATGCAAGTCTTCAGTATAATATTTCTCTGTAGGCTTAAGACTGTGCTTTATCATTACTGAAGAAATCATTACTAAAGCAGTTGCTTTACCTAGCTGTGTTTGAGATACATGCATTTAAAAGAAAACAAAAAAAGTATTTCTGAATTCATTTGAAAGTCTAGACTGATTTTTTTCCCTCCCCATACTTGTTGGGTTGAATGTTGTAGATTGGCCACCTCAAAAGTTCTTATTCAAATTTATGCAAGACAAAAATGCGTAAGAATTTAAAAGCTGAGGTACTTAGAGTACCTTGTGGATAAGATTAAAATTTCCAATGGTACTGCACGGAACAGTTACTACACTGGAATAATTTAATTTCAAATTGCTTTTCTGTAACCAGGAGCAATGGCTTCAACTGAAAAGTAGTTGTAAATTTAAAAAAGAATGGGTAGAAGGGACCGGATATAACTGCTGGCATAACACAGGCATACAAAAAAAAAAATGGGTAGAAGGGACCAGATATAACTGCTGGCATAACACAGGCATACTAAAGTGTTCCTCTGACACTGCAGCAAAAATGTAGCTGGATATTTTCTTTGTCTTGGGAGCTAATCAATGAAGCTTCTGTTCTTGGATTTCAGGCAAGATGAATGGTCACAAAACAGAGCTGTCCCGCAAAGATCCCCACACTTAGTACAGTGTAGGGGCACTGCAGAAAATCTCTTCAGGACGTTCCATATTCTCAGGCAAGGAAATGACCCTTCCTTTATCTGAACAACAGTTTGACTGCAGCACCGGTTTTTGAGAAAACATTACTGCTGAATATAACCTTAATGCCTTACACATGGCATGCATGGATTCATTGATCAGCTCCCAAGACAAAGAAAATATCAGCTTCACATACATACAAATGAGAACACGTCTAAGTGAGAATACAGGGTCAAGATATGAGAAAAACACGAATAGCGTAGTTTTCCCAGTATGCCAATACAATGACTCTTCAGATATGAGAAAAACACGAATAGTGTAGTTTTCCCAGTATGCCAATACAATGACTCTTCATCTTTTATAATTCAGGCTTTCAGAAATTGTGGCTAACTCATTCTTGAATTACGATACCCAGAAGAGGATGCAATATTGCAGCTGGATTGTCTTGCAGGCTATACTGTCCTGTACATCCTAATTGCCATTTGATCAAGCTGTGCACTTAGAGCAAGTCCTTGCACAATGGACTTTCTGGTACTATACAGAAACGAAACATGGATAAACCAACTGTTTACAGTGCTTGGACTTCTTAACCATAAGGGTGCACCACCGTCAGCAATTTCTGCCACTGTAGGGCAAGATAAGTAGAGAGGAATAACAGAACAAGAGCAAATTTTGTTCAGGATTTTGATCACTAGCAATGGAAAGTATGTTTATGGCACCAACAAATGACATAAAACTAGAAAAAGCTGCAGGTCCATTAGCTGGGATTAGAAATAAAAGTTACTTTCTTATGGAGTAAGACACTAAAATTTGATAGGCATAAGAATAAGATACCACACATAAGTACAAAAATCAGCTTCACATACATACAAATGAGAACAACTACTTTCAAAACCTCATTGACTTTGCTGAGAACACTCATGAAAGATACCTTTACCATATTTTGTTTGAAATTTCACTCAGAAAATTTCTTTTAGTATCTATAGCTTAGAAGTTTCACTTAATATTTCAATTCTTTCTTTCTTTCTTTCTTCCCCCCCCCCTTTCAGCCTGGTCTGCCTGGCTGGAACAGGCAGAACATCCACCTGCTGGGCTCTGGGGAGCTGGCGGCAGCATACAAGGCCTGGCACCATGCATCTGGCTGCCCTCCACGGCTGCAGGCAAGCTACTAAGGATGAGGAAGTCTAGTTTTCCCATCTGCCAGGGCTCAGCAGCTCTGAAGAGTAGCTTTGAAACTATCCAGGCTGTTAGTAAGCTGACAATACCAGTAAATAAAATGGGCAAAGGCTGATCTTCTCTCCCTGCAGTCATAGCTTACCACCAAATAGCTAAGCTCTCTTCTCATAAAATACGGGAAGCCTTTCCCAGACTGTTCCAGGTCTGTGCCACCCTCTGAGCTGTGTCCGGGTGCTGTGTGAGAGATGCTGCTCAGCAGACCGAAGCTGTGCCGGGGCCACGCTCACAGACAAGCAGCATGGACAGGTAAGTGCCAGTGCAGAGCCTATGCCCTTGCCCTACTCAGTTTACAGCTGGGATAAAACCTACAAACCAAGTCAAGTTCACATGCAGTGGGGCTGTGAGTGACAAGGATGACAACAGCAGGCAGCAGTGGCCCGACGGTGTGTATTCCCTCAGACTTGGACATTTCCAAACCCCGAAGCCTGGTAGCAGCACAGCTTGTACAGCACACTCATACTGTCACAGTTTTTCTCCTGAGTTAGGACATCAAAGATTTCTGAAAAATCTTGAAAATTCTTCTAAATTATATTTCCCACCCAGCTCTAAAAGTCACATTAAACTTCATATAAACTCTGCTAGCACATTTGTCAACCTTTCCTCAGCAGAGGTCTTTGCTGGATCACTTATGTCCATTTGTACATATCAAAATGACACACGCAAACAAAACAGGGATAAAAATCGGACAAACAAATACCCTACACAAACAAAACGTGGTTCTTCCTTCCTGGAAAATGGTTTGTTCGGTAGATTTATCAGCTAAACTGAATAGCTGCTGTATCCTCTGCAAAACATTTAACTTTCCTACACCTAATGGTCTCTTATCTTTCTATTTAGTGTGCGCAGTGCATGGGTTTCAGGTGCTAGACAAAGAAAAGTCTCAGGCACGTACCACAGTTGTCTTCATCGGCCCGATTCCCACAGTCGTCCTCACCATTACAGTGAAGCTGTTGGGGCAAGCACTTTGTGATATTGCCACATGGAAAGTAGCCCAGGGGGCACCTCACCCCAACTCCATAAACATGATCTTCCAAAGAGTCACAGATGACTAATGGAAACAAAAAGAATACGCTTACTTTAAGACATGCTCTTGATGCTTAAAGATCATTGAGATTATGTTTTTATAAATACTCATTTGCGTTTGAATGTGAATATCGACCGATAAATACATATTAGTTCATTGGACATGCAATTACAACAGTATATTAAGTACTTGTTAACTCGTCAAGAAATGTATTGTCAGCTTATTAAAATTTGCTTTGATATAAAGCAACCAGGTAATTCCTCCCCACGCCTGCTAGGAATAAGATGAGAATGCTAATCATACAAGACAAATTACCTAAGGCCACTATTTAAAAGAATTGTTTCACTTTGCACTAGAAATTAATTTATTATAGCAATATACCAGATAAGCTATGCAGATATGGATGGTATTAATTTGTGCTGAAATTTTAAACCCAGATAGATAAGTCCTCTTTACGCAAACTCAAAATTATATGTTTTAAAATGTATTCTAATTTTAAAGCAATTGCTAGACATAAACTGATCAAGGATCAAAGAACAAGAAAGTAAAATTAAATCTGTGATGTGGTTTTGCTGAAGAATAAGTAAGATAACATGAAGGTGCCATTATGAATCCTCTGGAAGAGTTGTCATCCTGGTCCAAAAAATTTGGAGGTACTGTTCACAATCTACCCATCTGAAGTTTAGATACACAGATGCTGTTCTGTTAAGCCCATGCTTTATAGGATGTAATTTCACAGAATACAAGGACTTAGTTCAAGAGCTGCTGAGGGGAAAGGTAGAGAGATGGAGCCAAGGGACAGCCAGGGCAGCTGGAGGACTCTACCTGTCCTCTGTTCTGCAGTTCTCTGTACTACAGCAGCTCCGGTTACCCACATTTGCAGATGCATGATGCCTTACCAGTCCCTCCAGTGCACCTGAGGGACAAATCCCGCCACCACCACTTTTTCCAGGGCAAGGCGCAACTACTGCTTTTGTGACAGATTTCAGGGTGCCAACTCAGATTTCTCGTACAAGATCAACTTTTTCACAGGAGCACACAATGAATAGGGTTTTAAATTACTCTAGAATGCAATTTGTTCAGTCTCCAATATATTGGAAATGGAGAAAAGCATCATCAGCACAGAACATCCCCCAGTGCTCTTTGTGCTCCCAAAGATTACCTAGTGAAGTACTATTCTACAAGGGCCTGCTAATTTAGTTTTTGAAGCACTTTCAAAAAGGAATATCACTTCCTCATTATGGCTAGCATTTGACTTAGTGGACGCTGTCAGAAAAAAGACGACAAACATTCCAATACAAATTATATTTTAAGTTTAATTGCCGTCTTAGGGCACTTGAAATACTCTATACAAACTTCATTAGCTGTGATGTGATGCTTGTTCAAATAGTAAATTGCCACTTCTGAAACATGTGACTCTTTTTCCATGCTACTTTCATAAGACAAAGTATAAATCTTTTACAGAACTTTCTCAGATTGACAAGGAATATGTTATTACCCAACATCTGATCTTTGTCCTCGTTTTAAGGGAATCACCTGAAATTTAATTAAGTACTTCAGATTCATAAGAAATCTCTTCTGGAAGAACTTTCACATGTGAAACCCTTGACAATGTTTACTACTGTGGAAAACTGTAATTTAGGAGCAGTATCCAGAGGAAATTGAGACAAATATTCACAGAATTATCTTTGCTGTCAGAAGTGTCCTGCATAGAAAATCACATATTCCAGCTAACAATCACTGTATGATTTTGAAACGTTGATTTGCTTTTATCCACCACTGTATAACCGGTGCAGCTGCTTGAAGAGATTTTGCCTTAGTTCCTTATCCCTCTTATGTATAGGCACCAAAAATAAGGCTATATTCTAAGCCCAGGGTGAATTCACACTTGTATATTGTTCATAAAATTCTCTGCTGCTCTGCACTTGTATTCAGAACATTATGTTTAACGTGTTCCACACAAAAACAGGTAGCAAAAAGAATCTTATATGCAGGCATAGTGTCAAGCAAACAGAATATGTGTAATACTTAGTGTCTAAAGTCTCTTGCTAGAAAAAGATAGGGGTCACAGGCAACTGAGGCTCCCTTCAGTACAGTTATCAGTCACAATCTGAGTAACCACTAGTAAAAGACAACAATATGGAAAAAAATAAGCACAAATGAAAAAGAACACCACCAAGCAGCCCCTTACATTTTGTCAAGACTTTTACCCTACACACCAGAGACATATTCAGACTGAGCTGAACTTTGTGCTTAAAGGAGCTGATCGCCATGCAGTTTAAATTTCAAATGATGGCATTTATCTTCTCACAGTACCATTCAATGGATTTTCGTAGCATTTTCCAGAAATTACTATTAATTAGTTAAATAGCATTAATCTCTGAACTAATTAATGAATTTACTGTCATAGTTTAGAAATAATTCTTTGTGAAATAGTACATAATCCCTCACTGTGTTTAATGCTTTGAATTCTCTGTAAATTTATAGCCTTGACGATATCTATTCTGAATCTCTGCATTACTCATTTTGCGCTATGTCGGATTACCCTGGTATGTAAATATCTGCCTAGGAAAGAAGATAACAAGGCACCAACACTTAACAACTTCATCCTAGTCAAATCATTGAAAACACTGGTCTTTGTCCATTGACTTGTTAACATCACTTTGTTTATGTAAAAAAAGACAGAAGTTTGGACCCTACAGATTGCAGGAGATTTATGAATGGAAACCCTCCCAAGCCTCTGAGGAAATATTTGGCAAAGCTGACAAAGTCAGGCAGGAGATAAGACAGTAAAATCCATTGTAAAACGCTAGATAATATTGAAACTATTCTCTTTTGGATTAAGAAAATTAAAACGGTGTCTTTTATGTGAGGAAAATGGGTAAAGATAACACTGCAACAACAGCAACTAAAAACTATGCTCCTTATTTTGCAAATACAGACTTTACCAACATTGGAGTTTATCATGCCAAGATAATGATCTATCATGCTATCTTTGTGATTCAGTATTAAGAGTGTTGACTTTTTTACCTGCTATTGATTTTCCACTATGAAAAAAATTGAACCACTCTTCTAGTATCTTGTCTCATTGTCCATTTTTTTAGCAGCAAAACCTCCTGATAGAATAGCTCTAAAAATATTAATTATTATTTCATCACGTTGTATTTCTGGCTGTTTCATGTTGGTGTTAAATAAAGGAACAGAAAAATGTTCTTTTATACTCCTTTTATTAATCCGTAGGTTATGTCTCTGTTCCATATGCACATCAAGCTTCAAAGATACCTCTTGTTTTATAGGTTCTCATTCACAGCTCATCTAGGATAGAGCGTCTCAGCTTTGCTTCTTACCGCCCAACTAACATTATAAAATCACAAGACCCCCATAACACAAAAGAAGTACCATCAGCAAACCATATCAACCTGAAGCTTAATATGGCCTGATTGATATAAACTATTTGTGTTTATAATGAGCAAGTTTGGGCTCATATCGTTATCTTACACAGCTGACAGAAAAAAAAACCTGATGTCCTTCAGAAATATGGCAAACGTAGACTGGGAGATAAAGGAAGACTAAAAATTTTTAAACTGTATATAAATAATTTAGCTACAAAGGTAGAAACCAGAGAAAAGATGGAACTCAGGATGTATTTGTTTAGGTCTCAATGAAAAGTATAAATCTGTGACAGACTTGGTTATGCCAGAAGGTTTGCTTTTAAAGTAAAAATGTCTTTGTTTATCTCATACAGAAAATGATCTCCTGCCTGCCTGTGACAGAGATAATTTCACACATTTCAGCTATACTGTACCAGCAACATTTTTTTCTCATAATGATTAGAGCAGATATTAAAATATGTGCAATATTTCTAGAACAAATAGAAAAGAAATAGGTGAACTGGTATCACTACAAACAGCAAAAAAACAAACAAGCATCTTTCTGACAAGGCATTTGCTGTCTCAGTACAGATTAATATTCTACCCAGTAGTGCATGTTCGTGATCCTGCAAACTGAATATTTCTGACTATCATGTACTTAAGGTCCCCCTCTATCCTCCAGTTCTTCTCAAACGTCCACAAAGAAAACAAGAATTCATGTCATACACCTTTTAAGCTTGTCCAGACCTGCTACTCTGAGGCACTTTTTGCTAAGGCAGACATCGGTGATCTTTCCTTTAGCTTGAAGAAAATAGATATATTTTAAGGACTAGCAGGAAAAAAGTTAAGGCAAATTTTTCCACTGCTTTCCTTTTTTAAAGGAATAAGCAAGAGCTGAGTTGTCATCTAGTATAAGATTGTAAGGCTCTTTCCTCTGTTGCATGGGTGCAGAATCACTGGAGAGAGAACATGGCAGCCCCTCTTTAAGCTCTGATAAAGTGAAATCAAGAGGGAATGCATTTGGGAAAGCCAAGACGAAGCTATTCCCAGGAGACCATGGCTTTCCTTCCAACTAAACTGATTTGCAAAGGTCACTCTTTTTGTGCATTCTTTGAAAAATGGCTCAAAATTTTTAAAGGAGAAATTGGATCACAAATGCTGTTTGAGAAACCAAATATGGGATATGTGCACTAGAAGAATGTGAACTTAACATAGTTACTTGTAGCCCCCATAAAACAAGCTATTATGACTCCATAATGGGAACAACACTGTGCCGATTGGACTGAGTCATAAGCAATTAAACTAATCAAAGCAGCATTACTCATTGCTTGGTACTGGTTAGTCACACCAGTCTCAACTGTATTGCATAAGGGTTCGAATAAAGTCATATCATAATATCAAGAAAATATTTTTGCATTTTCAAAAATTTGAATCCCATGAAGACCCATTGTCATGAGTCCAAAATGACTCTCAAATTGCAGCAGCCAAATGTGCTAACATGTTTTTCTTCACTTTGAGTAAGTTATCAGTTTGAAAGTACTGGCGCTGAGGAAATCCAACTGTTTTTAAAAGAGTCCTCAAATGACAAGGACCAAGGAATGATTATGGTACTGAAGAATCCACCCTGTACTTATTAC